GGGGGATGATGGGGGTGGGAGGGAAGAGGGTGTGTGTGGGAGGAGGGGCAAAGGGTGTGCACAGACCATCTGTTTGGGATCTTGCTTGAAATGGAGAGTACCTGAGAGAACCTGGAGGGTGACACCTGCCTGCTGGCTTTTCTCATCAGCCCAAGTCCAAGAAAGCAAATTCCGGTTGCAGGATAGTTGCTAGGACCTTGAGTGAGCCTCCTACCAGCCCAGGGAAGACTAAGCTGCATCATTCCAAGGAAGTTGAGCAATGTCCTGGTCTCCCAACCCCAATCCTGTCCTCCCGCATGTCCCTATTGTGCAAGTCATATGCCTACTTCGAGTGGCGACAAGGCTCTACCCATCCCTCACAGTGCCTGAGAGCCCAGAAAAGGGAGAGGGCCGCATCACAGCTTAGAGCATTAATCAGCATCTAACATATAGCCAGAAGGGCAGACCTAGATGATGGAGGATTGTTTCCTTGAAAACAGGCATGTTCTGCCCCTTGGCTAAGAGGCAGGGGAGCTCTGAAAAGAACTCCCTGCCGAACTCTGGCGCAAATGATGCCAAGAATGAAGGTAGAGTAATAGTGAGCTGGAGTGCCCTGTCCCCACCCAGGCCACCCTCTCCTTTTCACACTAGCAGCTCATGATGACCCAATGAAGCAAGGCTTTGGGACCAACTTTAAGTTGGTGGCCCAACTGGTGTGCAGCTAAAACAATTCAACCACATAACCCTTTACACACATCCATTTCATTCCAAAACACAGGTACTACTGCTATCCTCATCAGACAGAAGAGGTAGCTGAGGCAGAGCAGCTTGGGCAGCAAGGCAGGGCCATGCCTTGTTCTCAGGCAGGCTGAGCCCAAAGCCACACTCACAACTACCTTCCAGGGAAAGCAAACTCAGGTAGAGCTATAAACTCATGTCCTGTCCCAAGTGTTCCAGAATGACCTACAGAAGAAACACCCTTCCTCAGAATGCTAAATGCAGTTTTGGTTTAAGAATACAACATCAATCAGACGAGCATCTCTTAAGCTGTGAAGATCCCCACAGCTCACTAAAAGGAAAGCTGGGTAACTGGTGTTTCATAAAGAAGGTGGGGCTTGGGGACCTACCTCATCGGATTCATCAGATAATGTCTGAAGTAGGATAGGGAAGAGGCTGTCTGTGTGCCGGAACATCTGGAGAGCAGAGAAAGGGTTACTTGTGAGCTCTCTGCCCCTGAGACTGGGCTCAGTGCAGACAAAATGCTACAGGTCTGTTACTCCCCCTGGCCCCTCCCTGGCCCACAGGACCTTATAGCACCTGCCACTCTTCTGCTTGCCAGGCTTACTCTAGATGGCCATACCCTCAACACTGAGTATGGGCAGGCCCTGAAAAACCAAGGTGAACTTTAGATGACCACTGGCTTTCTGCAGAACTGGGTCCAAGCTCACCTTGCGGGGAGTTTTGATGTAGAGATGGTAAAGCCACTTCAGAACGGCAATCCTGGTCATCATTCCAATGGCTGTGTCACTGAGGTGGCAGTTCAGGACTTGCACAATCCCATCCAGGTGTAGGGTCACTGGAGCCCTGTCAGTGCTGTGAGCAAGACCAAAATGAAGTCTTGAGTTATTCTCTCCCCATGAACTTCAGCACCCCCGGGTATGCACACTCAGAATCACACTTCTACTCCATTGTCCATCACACTGCATTTCTCCTAAGTGATGACAGTGCAGGCTGCATTTTCTGTGTCTTGGGGCCAGGTGGTTCTTCTGCTGTCCACCTATACAAAATGGCCTTTCTTGGCTTTTCCAGGCTATTCAAGTATTCATCTGCACCAGGAACTTGATGGCTGTGTTCCTCACCAGCCTGCAGATTCTGAAGCTCATGTGTTGTGATTCCTAAGGGGTGTGTCTCTATAATGGCTAGGCAGAATGGCTGTTTAATACACTTTGGTGGTCTCCTGGTGCCTGTTTCAGGGTTGAGAGTGGGCAATCCATTCTTAGGGACTAGATGATCTCAGTATGCGACACAGTGACAGAACTCAGAATAGAGCCTTTGCACAGACAGAGGAAGGCAGCCACTGGGCTTTCCCAAGAGTCACGTGGTTAGGCGTTCCTGATGGCTTTTGAGCATTTCAAACTGTCAAGGAGTTGGCAGCAAAAGATAGGCAGGGCCACAGTGGCAGAAACGGTGGCCAGTCAAGCCCTTTATCACTCTATCCTGCTTCTGTCTAACAGAAACACAGTTGCAACACAGATGGGTTCCTACATTCTCTAGTTTCTAAGTCAAAATTAGCATTCATGTTTTAACTAAGCTAAGACATTAGCGTATCAACATACAATCAATAAGATGACCATAAAGATCATTAATGAGATGCTCTACATCTCGAGTCCTAGCCTTTGAAATCTAGCATGCATTTTCCATCAGCATCACATCCCAGGTCAGGGGGCTCTCCAATCCATGTTGGCTCTCATAATTTCTTCACACTCCATTTCTCTCTGCTGATGGCCAGAGCTTCCTTTCTTATATCCAGATCTTGCTTTTCTGAATCACGGGCTGGCCTCTTACAGCACTTCTTCCAGAGTGATGCCTCTAGGTTTGGCTCTCTGGGCTACAGTTGTTGTGGCTAGAATAGCTCTGGCTCAGTGATGAAGGAGATGCCTGTCATGGTCCAAAGCTTCAACAATGCAGGTGGCTACTTAAAGGTAGCTGCCTCCTTTTCAGCCATATTTTGGTAGCATTGTCTAGAGTCTGCAGTGGGTCCTTTCCCCAGCAGCAGCAACAGGTGTTCAGGATGCTGTCTGGGGGCCTGTGTTCGAGGACTACTGCTACAACTCAGCTGAACCAGCCCCTGGCGGTCTCTTCAGGTGGTGCCCACACAACAAAGGAAAGAAACTGGCAGCACTGTGCATGCTGATACTTCAATGCTGCGCCCCTGCTCCCCACCCCCAAGAAAGGTGTAAGCTTCAGCCAACAACCATGAGGCCATGGAGGGGACCTCAAGGTTCATGCATCCAATCTGCCAATGCACAAGGGGCAAACCTGGGTCCAGAGGCAGTGTGAGATGCACCAAGACAAGAGGCTAAGGGCTGAGAACTCATCCCCTTAGCTGGAGACATCCTTGGCTAGCTCAAGGTGAAGGTCACGGGAAACAGCTGCACTCTTATCTTAGTGACTGGCAAAAGAGGGTTTAGGATCCCATCTGCCCTTGAGCAGGCAGCTCTCAGCTGCTTTCTTGGGTGGTGCTGGCTGCTGAGCTCTGCCTGTGCTTGCAGGGAGCAGGGACTGTGGGGCCTTCCTGGGGGCGGGTGTGCTTACACAAAGTGATCAGCTTCCCTCTACTAGGCCAAACCTGAGATGCAGCGTCCTCTGCCCTGGCTAACCCATCATGAACAGAACAGTGCTCACAGGAAATTTAAAATACATTTCTATACTGGTTCCAAAATGTCTAGACAAGTCACTCCTGAGAGCTTCTGAGTTATTTCAAGGTGTCTTCAGCAAGCATTTCTCCTGACGAGTCTTACATGTGCATGCATTACAATATCCACTTGCATGGCACTGCTGCAATTTAAAGCGCAAACTTGCCCAACATGCTTCTGATGCCACCAATTTGCAACCACCTAGTCAGTGGTTCTTTGGGGGTAGCTGTATTATATTATAGCTGCAGTCAAATCGGAAGAAACGTAACTGTAAAGAGAGCTTATGAATTCAACATTGCCTTTCTAAACACACCAGGCCATTACATATTCTTTTCAACCAGCAGTCCCTCAAAGTCAGGCAGCATCGACTTCTAGACTTTTCTGCTGGTTGTGGTACAGGGCAGCCAATCATGCCAGGAGAACATCCTGAGTGGTCACTGATGACAGCATGGCCCTTGGCAAGGTCTTAGCTGTCAGGGGGATGTCTACACACCTGTCCCAAAACCTGCCAAATGTGTCAGAGAAGCCAATGTGTAACCCTTCTACAACTCTCCAACAACAGCTCAACAAGCAAATGCTGGTGCTCTGGAGCCAGATAGACTAGCTTGGATTTTCACCTCATCACTAATTAGCTGGGTGGCTTCCAGCAAGACTTAACCTCTGTCCTGTCTCCTCGTTTTGATGACTGGGATAAGGAGGGTCTTGTGATAATCAGTGAGGCTAAGTGTGACCAAGTGCTTGCTGTCTGCCAGGTATTGTTTCAGGCTTTTCACATACTTTAACTCATTTATATCCTATTCCTCTCCAGGGTCAATGCTGCCACCAACACCCCCCCCCCCGCCAGTTTACATACATGGCAGGCAGGATATGAAGTGGGCCCCTTTCTCTCCAGAGGAAGGGGTGCATGTGGTGTGCAGAAAGTAGCAGTGGAGAAACCCTCCCTCTGCTGTTGTCTTGCTCTCCACCATGCTCCCTCCATTCTGCTGTCTTTTCTGCCTACCTCTCCTTAAGGAGGCCTGCTTTCAACTTCCCACAAATCCCCTACACTGTGGAGGGTAGAGAAGTTCAGACCCCTTTGAGTGGTGCTACTTGACTGTCTGTCTACCCACTCAGACAGAGATGTCATTGGTTTACTGAGTGGCTCTCTTGGTGGCTAAGCCTGGGCCCCAGACAGGGAGAGGAAGGCAGCTGTGGTCTCTCAATGCTTTGAACTCCCTGTACCCCAGTCTGATCCCTGACCAGCTAACGGATGCAGAATTTTATGTGGATGTGTGTTTTTGTAGAAGAAGGGTCCATAGCTTTACTAGACTCTCTAAGGACTGGTGATCACTAAGAGGCTAATGACCAGGAAGTCTTCCTCCTAGCCACTGTTCTTAGCTGACCATTTCAGTAGTGCTTCGGGTAAGCAATGCATCCTCCTACAAGGTGGGAGGGCAGGTTTCTTTGAGTCACCCCGAATGACACCATCTGTACAAGTTCAGTGGCCCTGGAGGGAGCAGGTCAGAGGCTCTGAGCATTCAGTCTCTGTTCTCACAAATCCTGGGGCTGCATCCTTCCTAGCACAGGCTGGAGGCCACAATGCTACCACAAGACAATCTTTCTGCTCCAGGGTAGCTTGTGAAAAATTTTCTTGTGTTTTATTTCCCTGTTTGTGTTTTCAAAAGATTGCATTCTGCACTGGCTTCTAAGTGACAGGTATAAACTAAACCTGGTTCCAGCTAGCTGGTTTGTGACCTGAACACAGGAACTGACGTCTCTGTAGGCCCACCTGGCAGAGCATAAGTTTCCAAATGAAAAGTGAGGTAGTGGAAGGTCACGCCACCTTTGTAGTCCATCAGCCATGCACTATCTCTGCTTCTTTCTTCATCCCACTATCACTCTCTGAAGCGTGACAATCCCTATAGCCCAAATTACACTGTTAAGTTAGTCTTTCTGGCTACAAGTGGGAGCACATAAATCCCCTCACTGGCCCTGCCACTCCAACATATGCTATTGGCCTCCAAAGCCTCCATGTCCAGTGCTAAAACCTCCAGAGGGCTCATATATCTTCTACCCTGAGTTCCAAAACTCAGTGTCTAAGCTGGCCTCCTCCCCCAAGGATGCCTAGCACCCACTGGGGCCGCATCTAGAGTACCTGTCACACCTGTTTTTCCTTCTAGTCCAGCTTAGGAATGTACCAGACCACCCTGGGTTTAGCTTTAGCTAAACATCTAGAGGTTTCTCTTCCTGTTCCTCCAATTTGTCTATCCTGTCTATCAGCAAAGCTGCCAAGCCTACTTTTCAAACACATCCACCCTGCCAGTGGATGTGCAGTTTGACCTGCAGTCCCTTCTCCCCAGCTACTCTGACTCTCTCCGAAGTCAATTATGTATAGAGCCACTCTTCTCCCCTTTCCCATCCCTAAAATAGATACAATGATGCTGTCAATCCTGGGACTAGACACCAGCAAAATCTCAATGGTCTGACATCAGGTGGGCACAGAGCCTGGCCCCAGGAGCACGTTGGCTTGACCTCTAATCCTCTGTGGTGCAATCACCTTCCTCTATAGTTTCACTGTCTCCTGGAAACTTGCTGGCTACTTTGTTGTCTCCCATTGAAGTGTGTCAAAGTCGGGGTCACATTTATGATCTGACTCTATACCTCAGAACCTGTGGGGATGAGTCCAGGCAGGTGCCAGAAATGTATGACAAACACGTGAAAGTGAGTGGGTGACTGGCAATTACTCCCTGGTTGCTCACTGTGGGAGGCAGCACTGGGGTACACAGTTACTGAATTCAATACTTGTGAGTTTAGAAAGGATGCTTGGGTCTTTAGAGATAGCGACACATTAAACACGATACAGAAGGGATAGCCCGAGGGTCTGAGAAGAGCCTCTTGGAGTGGAGTGGGCATTTTCTCCTCAGAAATGACTGGCTCTTTAGGCCCAGGTTCAATGTTAAGTCTAGAGGAAATCCACTATAAGGGAATTGCCACCCACACAGCTTCAGCAGGTAGGTCAGTGGACTCAGCCCAGGACAGGTTGCTCCCTAGGAGATCCCAGGGTCACCCTGCAGGTTGGAAAGGAAGGGAATGACTTTGCTCCCTGGCCTATGCTGCCCCCCTGTGGAAGCCTGTGCTATGACAGTCATCCTGGGAGAGAAGGCAGAAGTTCTTGTGCCTGCACCTACATCTACCATAGTCACGATTCTGATTGCTGTGCCCTTCTTGTCTTCCATGCCTCCCCTGTGCACAGCCAGTCTTGCCTTGGGTAAGGAAAAGGCTCTGGGTGAAGGCATCTGCAACCTCACAGCCATCAACACACACACACACACACACACACACACACACACACACACACTGGGCTTTGAGAATGTGTATCTACTGACCCCAGAGACTCCCAATCCTTCCCAAAGGCTATCTGTCCAGAGGAATTGGGTGGAGGGGATTTCCATGGAATCCTTTAGATTTCCTCAAGTACCTCCTTTGTGTACCAGGGACTCCCCAGGCAGTGGCCTTAGACAGTTTTCCTTGGGTCTTTGCTGCAGTCTCTCGTCTCAGAAAGATCTAGACCACTGGCTTTTCACAAACCACTTACCTGGCTGAGGTAAAGACACTGATGCCACTTCCAAAGCTGGAGTCACAGGAACCACCTGGAACTCCTGGGGAGGAAGAGGAACAAGATGATATGAAGGCTGCCTGCTCATTTGTAGAAACAAGACCCTGGTCCCCAGCACCCACACTTCTATTTAGGCCCCTGAAAAGGAAGCCAAGGACCCAGCGCTTCTGCAGGGCCTAAGTCTCGAGATAACAGCCAGGTTTCAGCATTTCTAGGCACAGGGCTCTCAAGCTGGGGACACTCATGCTGAACACAACTGGGACATTTCAGAAGGGTCTGCAGGCCCAAGGGCAGTGGCTGTACATGAACTGGGTGATTTAACACCTCAGCCATCAGGAAATGAAGGTAAGTTCGCAATGAGATACTATTCTGTACCCACCAGGAGGGCTAATGTAAAAAAGAGAAGAAAATGGTTAGGAAGGGTGAGGAGGAACAGAAACTCGTGTGCATTGCTGGTGGGAACGGGAAATGGTGTTGTCAATGTGTACACCAAGTTGGCAGTTCTTAGAAGTTAAACACAGCTATCAGGTGGCCCAGTAATCCTGCTCCAAGAGCTCCACCCAAGCACAAAGGGAACCTGTATCTCACAAAAGCTGCATTTTTATGGCAATGCAGTTACCTAACATAGTCAAATGGTGGGAACAGCCCAAATGCCTATGTGTGGATAAACAAAAGGAAACATTACTAAGCAACTAAAGAGGAACAGGTTACAGAATGGATGAACTTTAAAGATGTGCTGAATCAAAGAAGCCAATTCCAAAAGATTACATACTAAGATTCTATTTAGAGGAAATATCCAGAACAGACAAGTCTGGAGACAGAAAGTAGATTAGAGGTTGCCTAGGGTTGGAGGATTTGGGGGCAGTGAAGTGTGATGGGTAAGGGCTTCTTTTTTGGTCACTGAAAATGTCCTAAAATTGGTTGCAATGATTATACAACTTGGTGAATACATAAAGCATCAATAAAAGGGTTAAAAATGATTGAGGAAAGAATTGTGACCTTGCACTCTGCACAAGTCAGGCAGCATGTGGCCAACTCAAAACCTTTACAATACTTGGCTTTCTGCTGCAGGCCCCAAGTAGAACAGGATTGAGATAATTCCAACCTTTTTCTTTTGGCACCTAATTAAGTTTCCTAAAGAGCCAAGACATTGTGCATCTGGAAGGCTGCCAGTAGGACTCTCTTCTAACCCCAGTCCTGGCCAGGCATTAGTCACAGCTTAGAGCATCAAGGAAAGGAGGAGGGAGTCAGCAGTGTGAGGTGCTCAGATATGAGGTCAGTATCACCAGTCAGTACTGAGCAAATGCAGCTCCAACAGGGTGCACTGCAGACAAAGGACTTTGCAGCATCCTTCCGAAGTGCCTAGCTTCAGGATGCAGTGGAGAAAATGTGAGACAGACTTACATGGAAAGGTGGTCTGCAAAGTGACTGGCCAGTCCTTCACAACTATCACAGAGTGGAGGTGATTTAGAGGACAGCAATTAAGTGTAGTGTGGAGTTGTTTTTGATAGAAGGGAAACACTGGGGACAGTTAGGTTAGGTGTGTACAGTGTCCTACCTACCAAAGTTCCAGACAACTCAGAGAATAATACAAAAGGAGCTCTTTATTCTTCTGCATTTTTTCTGTACACTTCAAGTTATTTTTTAAAAACTTAGGAAAATATATATACTGTAGACAGTACCAGTCACATGGAGATGAGAAACTGAAGATAAAAGACATTCCATGACATGCTCTCAATCAGACCGTATCAGAAGCCTGGAATTTTTCCAGCCATATACACACATTCAGAGAGAGAGAGAGAGAGAGAGAGAGAGAGAGAGAGAGAGAGAGAGAGAATAGAGTATGTCTTAGTTTCTGCCTGGGATTTTTGTCATACTCATCTGTCCCCTGTATTCTCCTAAATTGTCAGTGCTTCTCAGTCAGGCCTGAGTTAAAAATTTCTTGGCAAGGATACATGAAGAAAATTTCTCAACCAGACTAACAGGCAAATACCATACAGAAAAACCCTGATAGGCTAACTGAAATCGAAAACTGGAGTCCCCTGCTTTACCAGAGGCCATGTTGACACCCAGAACCTTAGGTAAGCCCTCACTCTCAGACAACTAACACTCCCCCATCCCATCACCACAATCCTGGCCTACAACTCTAGAGGAAGTCCCCTGTCCATGAGAGTCCACACCGACCCCCAGAACTCCAGGTAAGACCCCAGCCTGCACACCATCAATACTCCTTCAGTGCCCTGCCAGCCTACTCTCAACTGCCCCCCCTCCTCTTGTCATCATATCCTGGCCTACAACTCTGGTGGAAGCCTCTTGTTCCATTAGAGGCCATGCAGACCTGGGTAGGCTGGTTGCCCATGGACTGCCCCATTTTCTTAGTGCTTATCCTGGCCCTCCCCTTATCCTGGCCCCCAAATCCAGGGGAGGCACCCTGCTGGACTAGAGAACATGCAGGCCACCAGAACCACAGGTAGCCTGCCAGCCTCAGCACTGTCCCCACTCAGTGTCCTTCTAAATACCCCACCCCTCCTCATCACCCTATCTTAGCCCCCAACTCCTGAGGTGGGCCCCTGGCTGGACCAGAGGCCACATTGGCTGCCAAAACCCCAGCCCCAACTTGGGTAGAGACTTTCCACAAAACCACAGGCCACTCTAGCCAGAAGACCAGAGAGGAAACAGAAACCAAGGGAAAAAAATCCATCCAATAAAGACAAACCCAGAAATCTGCACTGGACCTATAATTACTCCAAATCAGATGCCTAGATGCCAGTGAAAGAACACAATCAACAACAGCCAGGGCAACATGTCACCACCAGAGTCCAGCTATCCTACTGTAGCAAGCCCTGAATAGTTCAATACAGATGAAGCACAAGAAAACAACCTTAAAACCAAATTTATAAGATACTAGAGGTCCTTAAAGAGGAAATGGATAAATCCCTTAAAGAAATCAAGAAAAAAATACAAAAAAATCAGTGGAAATGAATAAATCCCTTAAAGAAAGCTAAGAAAAACAGTTGAAGGAAATGAATAAAACTGTTCAAGACATGAAAATGGAAATAGAAACAATAAAGAAAACACAAACTGAGAGAATCCTGGAAATGAAAAATCTAGGTAAGCAAACAGGAACTACACATGCAAATATCACAACAGAATACAAGAGATGGAAGAAAGAATTTTAGGCATTGAAGATATGATAGAAAAAAATAGGTACATCAATCAAAGAAAATGTTAAATCTAAAAGCTTTCTGACACAAAACATCCAAGAAATCTGGAACACTATGAAAAGACCAAATCTAAGAATAAGAGGAAAATGCCAGGTGGTGGTGGTACATGCCTTTAATCCCAGCACTGGGGAGGCAGAAGCAGGGTAAGTTTGAGGCCAGTCTGGTCTACAGAGTTGAGTTCCAGGACAATCAGGGCTACACTGTGAAACCCTGTCTCAAACAACAACAAAATCCAAAACCAAAACAAAGAAAAGAAAAAGAATAATAGGAATAGAAGACTCCTAACTCAAAGTTCCAGAAAATATTTCCAACAAAATCATAGAAAACTTTCCTAACCTAAAGGACATGCCTATAAAGGTACAAGTTTACAGAACACCAAATAGATTGGACCAGAAAAGAAATTTCCCTAGCCACACAATAATCAAAACACTAAACACACAGAACAAAGAAAGAATATTAAAAGCTGCAAGGAAAAAGGCCAAGTAACATACAAAGGCAGACCTATTAGAATCACACCTGACTTCTCAATGGAGATTCTAAAACCCAGAAGGGCCTGGACAGACATCCTGCAGACTCTAAGAGACCAGAGATGCCAGTCCAGATTATTATACCTAGCAAAACTTTCAATCACCATAGACAAACAAAACGAGATATTCCATGATAAAGTCAAATTTAAACAATATCTATCCACAAATCCAGACCGGCAGAGGGTACTAGAAGGAAAACTCTACCCCAGGGAGGTTAACTAGACCCATGAAAACACAGGAAATAATCAGCAAAACTAAAATAAGGGAAACACACACACACACACACACACACACACACACACACACACACACACACACACACTCATAAGGAATTAGAAATCATTGGTCATTGATATCTCTCAATATCAATGACCTCAATTCCCCAATAAAGAGATACATACAGACTAACAGAATAGATGCAAAAACAGCATCCATCCTTCTGCTGCATACAAGAAACACATCTCAACATCAAAGATAATTACCTTAGAGTAAAGGGTTGGAAAAAGATTTTCCAAGCAAGTACCTAAGAAAACATCTGGTATTAGCCTTTCTAATATCTAACAAAATAGACTTTAAGCCAAAACCAATCAAAAGAGACAGAGATTCATTAAAGGAAAGATCCACCAAGATGATCTTTCAATTCTTAACATCAATGCCCCAAATACAAGTACACCCATGTTTGTAAGGAAACACTACTAAAGCTTAATTAAATCACATATCGACCCTCATACACTGATAGTGGGAGACTTCAATATCCCATTCTCATTAATGGACAGGTCATCCAGACAAAAACTAAACTGGAAATAATGGAGCTAACAGACCTTATGAACCAAATGGACCTAATGGATATCTACAGAACATTTTCCCCAAAACACAAAGAAATATAGCCTTTTCTCAGCACCTCACAAAACATTCTCAAAAACCGACCACATACTTGGTCACAAAGCAAGTCTCAAGAGATATAATAAAATTGAAAAAATTGCATCCTATCAAACCACCACGGATTAAAACTGGATTTCAACAACAACAGAAAGCCTACAAACTAATGGAAACTGAACAACTCTCTACTGAGTTTCTGCTGGGTTGAGGCAGAAATAAAGAAATTAAAGACTTCCTAGAATTCAATGAAAATGAATGCATGACATACCCAAACTTATGGGATACAATGAAGGCACTGCTAAAAAGAAAGTTCGTAGCACTAAGTGCCTATGGAAAGAAATCAGGGAGATCTCATACTAGCAACTTAACAGCATATCATATCTAAAAACTCTCAATCAAAAAGAAGCAAGCTC